CCGTGGCATAGCGATGACAATCTCCGTAACCTTCGATATCTTCTTGGCTCCACGTCTCGTCGATAGGGTCTAAGACCCATTGGGCAAAATCAGTCAATGTGTTAGGCCCCCGAAAGATTTTTTCACGTCCTCCAGGAATCTTGCAGTAGCAAGGACAATGAGTAAAGATATGCTCTTGGATGCACTTATCGCACGCTCGGTAAGCCACACAGAAATTAGGAATGTAATGCCAGTTTCTTGCATGCATTTGAAAAAAATGAAATTACCTTTCTTCTTCGTCTCGTCATCTTCACCTCCTTCTTCATGTTTATAATGGTATTTTTGTGTGTAGCACTGGTGTTCCAAGTCCACGATTTGATGACAAATGTGACATCTTTTCTTTCCTGAACAGACGTGGGTTTCCTGAACAGACGTGGGCCTTAGGTTTATTGGTAAGTATACCTTGTCCATAAGTAGGGCACAATCTCAGCAGTTGACAAGCACATTTGCGCTGTGAACCTTGCGTTTTCAAATGTTGTTGGTAGCAGGAAGGGTTAATAAACGTGCGCTGACAAGCTGCGCAATGCACTCGTTCTTGTCCTTCGTCCAGACAGGGTTTAGAGGCCAAACATCATGAGCATTTCGAGCTACAATGCTTGAGTTGCTCTCGATTGTTATAGCCATAGTCACATTTTTCACAGTAATAACCGTATGACAGGAATGCATTGATACTGGTAATGACATTAAAATGTTCATCGTGATGATAAACGTGAATGTATTTTCGGTCTTTGAAATATTTGCCTCGAAACAACAGAGGTCCACGCACTTCTTGAGGGTGCATTTTTAAGGTGTAACATGTAGCCAAGACGTCTTGCAGTTTTTGCATTTTAGGAATGCCACAGGGCGTGTCTTTAGATAGCCCCGCATGCTGTAATAGAGTTCTGCTTCTCTTTTTTGTTGGACTTGACTAGATTTTCGAATAGCTTGCCAGGCTCTTTTCCATTCTGCCTTGTCGTTCTTGTCGGCATACGTTCGTCCCACCACGATGGCTCGGGCTAAACACATCTGGTCGTGAAGATTGTTAATTTGGACGAGTCTACTCTTAAAGCTGCGAAGTATGTCGACCAACAACACTTTTTGTCATGTCCTCATGTCCCTTGGGGAAGAGAAACGTGGGTCATGAACAGTGTCGCTTTTCCATCAGTAATGTGAAATTTGTCGTTGGATTGTTGAACGTGTTGAATTTTGTCCATGACTTTGGAAGGTGTCAATTCTGATGGCTTGCTAAACTCGTGACGAATGGAAAGTCTCAAACGATCGTCTTCTTTGGCTTGACATTGATGTTTCAGATTGGTTAATGAAGAATCCCACACATAGGTGATGAACCCTTCTGCTTTCTCCAACGGTACGTCGGACTAGAAATCTTTAAACTTCACCGTGTACGTGTAGGCTGTAGTTCTAAATTTTCAAGAGGAACGTTTGTCCGTCTCTCGAATGTGATTTTTAGAATTTACTAATGGTAATGGACTTTGCTTTCGTGTAGACTCACTGGGTTTACTCATCTCATCTTCAAAATCACTGGCATGAATTTGAGCCAAGACTTCAGCTACTGTGCGAGGCGATAAATCACGTTTCTACCTCTTACTTTCGTTTTCAAATTTCTTTTCAAAATGATGCGATTGTTTCATCTTGATTGCAAAAAGTTAAATGACTTCATTTTAAATGCCATGGTCTCTATATATTCATCTCAGACCAGTGCAGATACAAAGGGCTAGTGCCTTCCCTCTCAGTATTCATTTTGCTCTCAAGCTGACCAGTACGATGGAAGAACCCACACAAATCGAACTTCTGATTAGAGCTTTACGAGGTGTCATACGAAAGTTTTCTTCAGACAATGCAACGGACTATTCTTCCTGTTTTCGAGATAAAAGTCATGATCCTTTCTATATCTGTAAGAATAAAGGACATTGGCCTACAGAATGTCCAGACCGTCAAAAAAACCATAGTAAAAAACAGTGTCAAAAAAGACAAAAGTCGAGATACCTGTTATCATTGTAAAGAGAGAGAGGACATTGGTCTTCAGAGTGCCCTTCAGAGAAGGAGGTAGAAGAAGAAAAGGAAAAACCCCGAGACGTTCAGAAAGAGAAACAAAGGATAGAAAAAAGGGAGGAAGAGAAGGAGGAGAAAAAAAAACTGTAAAAGTGAAGAAATTTAAAAAAAACATAGTGAACCAAACAGACACAGAAGCTTATGAACTTTTTTAGAAAAGTGTTGTTTTCTATTGTGAATTGGATTGTAAATAGTTGTACCATAATAGATCACACACACACAAACACACACACATACATACATACATACATACATACATACATACATACATACATACATACATACATACATACATACATACATACATACATACATACATACATACATACATACATACATACATACATACATACATACATACATACATACATACATACATACATACAAGGGTTAGAAAAGGGATTTTTGAGTTTTCATTGATTTTTGGCAAAATGAATATGAACTCTTTTCGAAAAAAATGGGTGGCCCTGAAAAGGAATGTTGTGTGTTTTGTTTCCTGTGAACAAACTCAGGAACGAGAAACAATTCGCTTTAACTGCCTTATGCCTTTGCCACGACCAAGGCCAACTTGTGGACTTGCTCTTGTCAATGATTGAGTAGAAATCACTAATGGTAGTATCTCTGGTGTAGTCACAGTGTTAAGCTGTTTGGGTCGAGAAGGTCTTTTTCTCTTGGGTCGTAATAAAGAAGTCTGATACATTTCTTTCAGACTTCTTAACTCAGCTAAAATATCCAAGAGTATCGTAACCGTTTGACTTTCACTGTTCCCTTTCTTTCCTGGACTTGGTTTCTTTTCTACTGCTTCTTCTTTTTCATGATGTTTCCTTCTCGCCTCTTCTTCTCGCTGTTGCTGTTCAAGGAGAAATGCTTCTTTCTGTTGCTGTAAAAATTTCTCTAATTCTTCATTTTGTCTTTGTCTAAAATCGTCGACGGATGGTAAAGAAGGAGAAATTGACGAAGGTGCTGGTGCCGATACAAATTCTTGTGAAGAGAGAAATCTACTAAACCCCAGTTGAAATCAACCTCTTCGGGAAGTGATACTGTGTTCACTTTAGTAGCTGCTGCTATGCCATCGCTTTTCGTCTCCGCAGCCGTTGCACCCCAAGTCATTATCTTGTTAGGTTCCGTTATGTTTGACCAAACTGTCGCATCAATTCACTACGCACAAAACGCTAGTGAACGTATATAGGGAATATGACATTCACATGTAGCTCTCTTCTGATTGGAAGATAAACTCAACCAAGTGACCGAATTTTGTAACGCGTATTGAGATTGGTCAACCATTTCAATCCCTTTCGGTCCACTCTTTCCCTATAAATACACGCGGTTCACTTCATTCCCTTAGCCTGTTCTCGTCACAAATTAAAATGTGGACCAACGTAGAATCATATATCCTGGTATTATCGATGCTGTTTAACCCTGACTATCCAATGTATGTCTGATTGTCATGGGCTATTATCCAGATTACTGATACATCCATTTGGAAAAGAAGAATCTATGTGGAGAGACAAGGGTGTCTAAAGAGAGTTCTCATCTACGGACCAGAAGTGGGATGTAGTTTGAGAAAGAGACGAAGATCAGTGAGATGCCCTGCATGTTAACGAACTGGAGTTATCGTTATAAACAAAGGCTCTTTTCAGGGCCACTTTCCATGCCTCGAAAAGATTATCATATTTTTAATATTGCCTCTATAAGTTAGAAAACATATATCTCACTACATTCACCAACACGACGAACGCTTGACGTCACAGTCCTTGACGAACGCTTGACGTCACAGTACTTGTACATTGCTACAGTGTTGACAAGTGTCCAGTACCGTGATATCATGCTACCTGTGCCATTCCTCTTGTTCCTATACAGTCCCAGAGTGTGCAAATACAAAATTCCCATTGTCCCTATAAAGGATCGGATGTGCCATTTTTCCCTATAAATTTTGTTTCTATAGCATCCCAGGGGTGCTTTTAATGATAACTCCCATTGTCCCAATAGCATCCATCTTCACTACTTGTATCACTCTTTCCTTCACTGGTCCATGCCAGTGATGTTGGTTTGAATCTTTTTCTTGGCTACTGTCGTTATTTTAGTTAGTCACTGATTAACTGAAATCATCATTGACTCATGATAATTAGTGACTCAACTTCCATTCGTGGTGGCAGGTAGTCCTGGTGTCTAATAGTGATAAAAGCTATTTGGTTCAACAACATGTGATTTAGATATCAGAATTAGTTAATAGATTTTAAGCATAATCATAAGTAAGAATTATTACTAATGGTAAAAACTGTATGATTGTATCTTCTTAACCTAGGCAGACATATAAATGTATGCATGCTTATTAGGGCTAAGTATCCATAAAATCTTGGCATGGCGATCGATATATATATATATATATATATATATATATATATATATATATATATATATATATATATATATATATATACATGCTGATAACATCAGTCACAAATGGACAATGCTATTCAAGATGATCAAGAAGCCGAAATTTCATACTTTAATTAATTTTTAATCTCTTTAAGTAATTAATTGACGGTAAACATCCTTACATATGGACAAGTCAAAGCTTCATCAGATAGAATGCTGTATAATTTGCGTCGTCTCAAGTGTGACTGCATTGGCGGCTATGACGAAATGATGTGGGCCGTAGTGCGTGTGCGTGTGTGTCTGTGTGTGTGTGTGATTTGGATTTTTCAAGTAATTTTAACAATTTTTCAGTCATATTGCGACGATGTATGCCTTGCGGCAGTTTATAGTGATGTCTAGCACCGGGGCATCATGCCGCAGACATGTAGCATGATGTCCCACCAAGTCAAATTATGCTGACACCAGGCCGACCAGTCCTAATACTAACCTCTTAGTGCTGAGCGCCAAGCGATGCAGCTTTTAGCACCATTTTTTGTAAGTCGGGGAACGAACCCAAAACCTTCCGCATCCGAGGAGGATGCTCTAACCACTAGGCCACCTCGGTAGTACATTCTCAACAAGTACACCTCCGTAGTATATTCCCGAAAAATGCTAAGGTTATTGATTCATTGTACTATTTTTCACTTTTTGGGGAGAGTATTGAGAGCATGAGAAATTCAGGCGACAATTCTGCCAGACTATTTTGCCTTTCCCACTGGGATTGAGGTTATACTATTTTAACGATGGGTGCATCTTTTAGAAAGATGTTTTTGCTTTAGAACTGATATTAAAAAAAGATATCAAATTTAAATGAAGCAAAATGAAATTGAAAAAGAAACTTTTGTTGTATACTGAGTACAGAAATACGCAACAACTAAAACACGGGTCATCGACAATGCACGGTGCACGTACGGCAGGTGTCGTATACAATATATCGATATTCCGGATATTAAAACAACCCGCACACCCTTAATACTTTATGAAGGTATTAAAAAAGGAAAGGAAACTGACTGTCAACAAAGAGACTGAGTAATAGTTAGTTTTAAGTGGCTTTATGTGCATTTGATTTCTTGAGGTAAGAAAAAGTTTTACACATTTGTATTATAAAAGAGATATGTTATATTATAGGCCACAATTGGTGTTAGTGAATCTTGATTTAAATTTAGAAGTTTGTAAACGTAATGTATGTGTTCGTCTTAAATTTTTATTAATTTGTTTTTAAATCAATATGAAAGAGAAAGTTATGAAGCTTGAAACAAAATACTATTTAAGCTCTTTAAAAAAAAGTCCCCACTGTCTTCTAAAACTTGGCATTCAAATAGTTTAGATAATACATTGTTGTTGAGTTTCAAATCATCTCGTACTTCTGTTTCACCCGGTTAAAGCAAACGATGGCAGCAATTATGAGGTTTTGTAATTTCCGGAAAGCGTGCATCTAATTTTAACTGGTATTAAACTGAAAAGAGAATAGACTATTAAAGTGTTCAATAATTATTGAATTTCTAAACCTATTAGCAACTTACGCTGCTGAAAATAATTCATTGCGAAGAACCATATTAATTTCCGCGATTGATGAACTTCTATGGGACTAATAATTAAGGACGCAAAAGTAATAATTGACGTTTATTGCGTTAGTCAGTCGCATACTAAGGGTAAATGCAGCCCGGGGCAACCATGATTGCTCAAAGGGGCTTTTGCGCCTCAAGATCTAAGGCGCCTGGTGATACAACCCCATCCGCCCCACCACACCCCAATCCCCTGATTAGTATACTGCTATAATAATTTTCCATCTTTGCGCAATGCGTATGGAAATGATTTTCTATTATGATAGATATATAAGTCATATTGCAAAAAAATAGGTGAATTTTGCTTCGGATCTGTCCAGCTCATCGCTTTCTTGTACGCCGTTATATCACTTCAGTCACATGCAAACCTTGGAGTAAAAGAGAATTGGTATGATTCTCTACCAGAATCTATGAAATACTGGAAATTTTATCAGTTGATTAGATTCAGTATGGTGTATCAATCTATGAGATACTGTATAATGTATCGCTCTATGAGATACTGTAGAATGTATCGATCTATGAGATACTATATAATGTATCAACCTGTGAGATTCAGTATAATTGGCAATTTATGAGATACTGTGTAATGTATCTTGCTATGAGTTACTTTTTTATGTGTATTAGTAATCATTTTAGGCAGATATCGGTAAATCTTAACAGAGTGTCACACACACACACACACACACACACACACACACACACACACACACTTTGGTTGTTGAATCAATACTTTAGTAGTTTTTAACATTTAAACAGTATAACAGTAACATTTAAACAGTATAACAGTTTGTAACAGTATAATTGTCAATTTATGAGATACTTTGTAATGTATCTTGCTATGAGTTACTGTTTGATGTATATTAGTAATCATTTTAGGCAGATATTGGTAAATCTTAACAGAGTCTCTCTCTCTCTCACACACACACACACACACACACACACATACATAACATACACACACACACACTTTGGTTGTTGAATCAATACTTTGGTAGTTTGTAACATTTAAACCCCTTTCTTTCTTCTTATATACTTTGACTCCATGTTTCACAAACTCTTGAGTTGATACCCGATAATAGTGATCTGTGATAAAGACTACAGAACGATCAAATGAGAATGTTATTTTATTCAGATACGTGAACATGAATATTAATGAAGAGAAAAAGATACTGTACAGCCGAAGTGTAAAGTTTCACATAATCCCTTCCAGCATCTCATAGTTTTGTGAGAGCTTCAAATATGATATCGACTTATTTGAATATACAATGATTATCATATTAATCCAATTTATGTACATATTTATGAACTTTTTAGTAAATGGGGAAGAAATAACGCTTTAGCTTCAGAATTAGATATGGGAATTGTATTCAATTTGTATAACTAACGTCAGCGGAAGAAAAAAACCCAAAGAAAAATGTTTTAAAAAGCAGCATTACGTAGCAATACAAACATTTGTTTCTTACGTGATATATTACGCCTCTATGGTCTTAAACTAGGTAACAGAAATGTGCGAAAACGAACAAGTTTAGTAAAATTCATTAAATATCTTATTTCCCTAAAATGCAAAGTAAAAATTTAAAAAGAACTTACAATATTGTGAATTAAGTCCTAAATAGACACAAATGTTCTACCGCAAGTTAAAAGGTGTAGAGAATTCCGAATGAATTCCATTGCTATTTCGAATGAATTCCAATCTTGAATATGCTTACGGATGTACCAATAGCCTGGAATAACGTTGATGAGCTAATAGTCTTTATGTATTGTCCTAAATGTCTCTAAATAGAGTCACAATAATCCCAAATGAGTGATTTGGTCTAAAGTCAATACAAACTGTATATTTCCATTGAATGATTTAAATAAATAAATCCTCTCAAAATAAAACTGAACAGAACTAAAAGATCGATTCTACTAATCATCTGTTAAGTAGGATGGGTACTTTCTAACATAAACAACCTGAACACAAAACCTAATTCACAATAAGAGGACCAGGATGTGTGTGTGTGTGTGTGTGTGTGTGTGTGTGTGTGTGTGTGTGATTTCAATTTTTAACATAGCTTTAACAATATTTCAGTCATATATCTAAGGTGTCTGCAGTCTGCCAGTTTCATAAGCCTGGAAAGGAAAGGCACTAACATGCTGTGCCAATGCAGCGTAACGAGGATAGTGTGTTTATGCCATGTACGAATTCTGTTTTGTTTTGGGGTCGGTGGGGGTTGTTTCGTTTTCTTTTTTGATGCTGTGTATGGGGGGAGGCTGGTGGTGTCAAGGGTATTTGGGGTTTTGTTTTGGTTTTGATTTTTGATATTTCTTTAAGGTTTCCTTTAAATGCGTATAGGTCAATAAAACGGTACTGATATAGTTCTGTTGAATATGCTTTTAATAAATAAGCCTTTAAAAACTATTCGAGAACGGAATTTCATCCTTGATTAAAGAAAAGATCTAATTTGAAGACTCTCTAAATCAAAACATTGTAGGATAACAACAAATAGCAATAACAACAACAATAGTACTCCACCAACTACTACTACTACTACTACTACTACTACTGCTACTACTACTACTACTACTACTACTACTAATAATAATAATAATAATAATAATAATAATAATAATAATAATAATAATAATAATAATAATAATAATAATAATAATAATAATAATGTCTTTATTCTTTAAGGATGACACAATTAGTACAGAAACTAATATCATTTATGCCCCTAAATTATATACATATGTACATAAAAATATGCTCAATGCATCTTGGAAACAAGAATGCTAAAAGAAACTTCTGAAGGGTTAGTGTACACAACTGCAACAGTATATGGATTTGGCACACAATGCACACCGTAAAACAATGCTACATTGCAAACATCACACACACAAACGTATGCAAACACAACACACACAATGGTACACATCTAAAGGCATTTTTCACAGTGTATATAGATACAAATAAACAATAAAGTTTTATATTATCTCATTTAAACAATATATAGATTGAATCCATTAAAATACGTGGGGTGAAAGGATTGTACTGATGCTGTTTCTCTAGCATCTTTAGGCAACAAGACTTCTTTCAGGTATATGCAATGCCGGATTAAAACCTGTGGAAGCCCCTAGGCAGTCGAAATCTTGCGCTCCCCCGCCATGCCCCCGCAAATTATGGCCTAATACCTCAAGACCAAATCAATTCAATATTATTTGGATCCGTTGTCGCAGGGCCCTTAAAAGGCATGGGGCCCATAGACCGGTGCCTACTCTGCCAATTTGGTATTCCGACACTGTGTATGTGCAAGAAAAAAATATGAACTCCACCAAGTCAAAACAAGAAAAGAAGTAGAGGCAGGAAGAATGATAGAACCAATTAAGTTGTGGCATGTGATTAAAAAAAATGGAAATCTTCTTAGGAACAGAGAATAGACACTGGTTGACTAGTAGACTAGCATGCACCGTGTCACACTGTCCTCATCTCTCTCTCTCTCTCTCTCTCTCTCTCTCTCTCTCTCTCTCTCTCTCTCTCTCTCTCTCTCTCTCTCTCTCTCTCTCTCTCTCTCTCTCTCTCTCTCTCTCTCTCTCTCTCTCTCTCTCTCTCTCTCAAAGCCACTGCCACCACAAACCGCTTTGTTTGAGAAACTTCTCTTTTATGTATTTTTCCAAGGGATTTTCAAAGTAACGGAAATTATAGAAATAGTGAGGTTTAAAGACAGGCTCATGCACCTTGAGCTTTATTTTTCTCCGCATCTTCCCATCAAAATTCCTTTAAACCTCATCCTCTTATAGGGATCAATTTGGTATAATCCATAATCTTGACAAAAAGGGCTCATACCAAATAAAGAAAAATCAACCTGAAAATACCAATGTTACACACGTAGTGCTAAAAATCCGGAAAAGAGTTAATGCATATTTTTTAAAATATATTTCAATAATGACTTATTGAAATATATCAATTGAAGAAAAATTATATCGCCGCAGTGGCTATATCAATTTTGGAACTACT